CTAGTGTGGTGTCATGCACCTGTCATCCCAAACTATGCAGGAGACTGAGATTGAGAGGATCATGGTTTAGGCCAGCCTGGGCAAAACAAGTGAGCGACCTCCCTGCCACCCAGAGCAAAAAAGCCTGGATGCATGACTCAAGAGGGGGCCTTCCTTGCAAGTGCAAAGTCCTGAGTTCAAACTCCAGTACCATATACACACAATATATATTTATGTGTGAATATATATACATATATGTAGTATAAAGTTACATTCAGTCTATGTGTATAAAGAGTATATGAAACATAAATGAATTTCATATTTAGACTTGGTTCCCATCCTTCAAGATATTGCATTATGTATATGTACATATTCCAAAAAGAAAAATATCTGAAACCCTTCTGGTCCCAAGGGTACAATCTGTACATTTATTCTAATACCTGTAAAGTGTTTGTACCAATTTTTTGACTCCAGTCTATTCTTTACAGTGATTTAATTCTGCAAGTACTTATTAGTTGCCAATGCCAATTTTTTGATAAGTTAATCCCATCCTAAAATATAAATCTTAAGTCTGGTTTGGTGATGCATGCCCGTAATCCCAGCACTTGAGAGCCTGAGACAGGAAGTTCGTGAGTTAGAGGTAAGCCTGGGTTATATAGTGAGACCCTTTCTCAAAAAGGGGGTGGAGGCTGGAGGTGTGGCTCAAATGGTAGAGTGCTTGCTTAGCAAGTGTGAAGCCCTTCGTCCAAACCCCAGTACCACCACCAAAAAAAATCATTTTATTATTTTGCAAAATAGCATTTAGAGTTCAGTATACTTCTTTTTTTTCCTTTGTTTTCTATTGATTGTTGCCTTTTGAAAGTTTGATGTATTTCTTAAATAGAGATACTTTTTTTTCCCAGTTTTTATTAGCATTCATTAATAGCATAAGGAGGTTTCACTGTGATAATTCCATAGCTGTGTACAGTGTTCTTGGAACAATTTCACCCTTTCTGTTATATTCACTTATACCTTCTCTCCCCCCTTTTATATATCTTTATCTATATGTAGATATTTTCTATAGTTGTATTTTATATAGATATAAAATGTACTTCAATCCTCTTTACCCCCCAAACACCCTCTTCTTTTGCCCTCTGTCAGTAGTGATAAATTCAAAATGGGAAATCAGAATGGTAATTTCTAAGAAATAGCATGTATAATAGTCTTGAAAAATTGAACATACGTGTTTTAAAGACCTGTTTTTCACACTTGGGGCACATTTTGCCAATACAGACAATAGCCTATTCATTTGTTCAGCCACAAGCAAAAACAGGCAGATGGTAGCAATTAGTATCTGTCATCAAAGACAAGAAGAATGAGTAATACTCTATTTCTTAATCTTGGGAAGAGTAGTTTGTCTTTCTGAAATCCATAATTTATGATTGACATTTTTATGAGTATATGTTAATTGCACAAAATAATGGGTTTCTTTGTGACATTTTTAACGCATGCATATAATGTAGCTTTTCATATTCACTCTTACGGTTGACATTCTTTTATCATTTAATTTAGTGCTTCTCCATTTCTAGTCTTTTTGAATAAATGTATATTCCTTTATCTCACTGAAGCTTACTTTTTCCAAACGGTATTTGTCAACACATTAACCTAATTATCCATTCCTCTTTCAAAAGCTTGTATAGCTGTCTATGGCATTAGTTATTAGGGAAACACAAATCAAAACCACAATAAAATATTACTTTACATCCATTAGAATGGGCATAATGGAAAAGACAATAATAATTATCGGTATGGACAAATTGGAGCCTTCATACATTGCTGGTGAGAATACAAATGTTGCTACTGCTTTAGAACATAGTTTCATAGTTCCCCCCAAAATTACACACTTACTTACCATGACCTAGTAATTGATTTGTACATATAATACTGAAGGGAATTGAAAACATGTTCACACAAAACTTGTACAGAATGTTCATAGTAACATTATTGATAATTGTCCAAATGTCTATCAGCTGATGAATGGATAAATAAAATGTTGTCATATCCTTACAGTGAAATATCACTTGGCAGTAAAAAGGAATAATGCCTTAATGTGTGTTAAGTGATGATTGAACTTTGAAAACATGCTAACTGAAATAACCTAGACTTGAAAAGACCACATGTCATATGATTCTATTTATATGAAATGTCCAGAATGGGCAAATCCATAGATACAAAGTAGATTTGTAGTTGCCAGGGATGGTTGGCGGTAGTCATGTGGGGAGTGACTACCCACAGGATAGTACACTATCCTGTACAGGGTTTCTTTTCAGAGTGATGAAATACTCTGGAATTAGATAATGATAGTAGTTGTATAGCTTTGAGTATATTAAAGACCACTAAGTCAAATACTTAGATGAATTTATTTTATGGTGTTTTAATTATATCTCACTTTAAAAGTATAGTAAGCAAAACTCATAAGGCAGCTTTGATAAGAATCTTCTATATTGTTGGCCTATATTAGGTTTCAACCCTTCAGAGACCAAGATTCGAACACCTGATGGGAAAGTGTGGCAAGAGGCTGAGTTTCAAAACATGAGTAGAGAACTGTACCAAGATTTAGCACTTCACTTTGCAGGTGAGAGTAGACTTTTTTGTTTTGAGTATTTTATCATGCATGCCATCTAATTTATAATATTTAAACATGGAATTGTCTCAAACTAAGTATTTTCCCTTTTCTAACTGCATTGTATATTAAAGTAGTAGTGGTTTGAATCATGAGTCTATTTTAGGCTTAAGGCCCTTCTCTAGGGTTAAAATTCACCTACATTGTTAATGAGACAGAAAATAGGCTATTTTTAAACTGAGGGACTTTGGAGAGTCTGAACTGCCTGGTTTGAAGGAAATAGGAGAGCCTAGTTGAGGTTTACTCAAGGTAGGTTTTTGAGATCTTTGAAGTGGTCAGTAATTAAGCAGTCAGCAGATGCAGAAAGAAAAATATGTGTTATTAGGAGGGAATGATATTAGAGAAGTAAAGATAGGAATCTATGAGAGGCTGAAAGAGAAATAATGTAACAATGTTGCTACCTGTTGAACCCTTAGTATGACTGAGCTGGGTGCTTATTCTGTGTATTTTTTACAGTTGAGGAAATGGCAGGTCAAAGAGTAATTTTTTTCCAGGGTTGCATAAGAATTGAAGCCCAAATTCAAAACCAACGGTTAATTCTGAAGCCTATGATCTTTCTTGTAAAACCCCGTAAAGATTTTACTAACACATTTTGTAGCATTAAATGTCCAGTTCAGTTTTCATGCTTTTACTCTGACACTGTATTCAGGAATATTTTTCTCATGTGGAGGAGTATAATGTAATCGTTATGAGCAAATATTTTGGATATAAGGGTTTAAATTATGTTGTTGCCACTTATTAGCTATGTTACATCATATTTTTTCTTTGGTTTTCTCATCTGTAAAAAAGGGATAATAATAAATATCCTAGGACAATGCCATTATAGACAAGTACAGTATATCAAGGTCTCTTAAAAGACATCTTATTATAGTCTGCCTTCTTTCATCCTGGTGGACAAACTGTATTTAAGGCACCTTTATGTTGCACCGTCAAGTTTTCCCTCTTTTCTAGATCATGCCCGTCAACATAGAATACTCTGTTTGGCTTCCTCTCTGGCTACTACCCTGTTTCTCCCTTTTATTTACAGCAAAACTAAAGAAAGTCATCTTACATTCATTGTCTCTGATTTGTCTTTTCCTTTTCTTAAATCTTTTCTTATAGATGTTAGCCCCTATTTCTCTGTGAACTGCTGTTGTCAAGATCATCTATGACCTCCACGTTGCTAAATGCAGTGTTTAATATTTGTCATCTTGGTCTCTCAGCAGCATTTCACATGATTAATCACTTCTTCATTAAACTCTTCACTTGACATCTGGGATACTATAAGTATCTGGTTTTCCTCTTAAGTCTAACAGCTTCTTTTCAAGTTGTTTTTCTCCTAATCAACTCACTGATCTCTCAACATTGGTGTGCCCTAGCCTTAGTCCTGAGTACTACTAGGCCTTTTTCTTTTTTCTCCCTTTCTACCCTTCCTCCCTCCTCTTTCTCCTTTTTCTCTTTTTTATTTATCTCCAAATACTTACTAGGCAAACCTATCTACTCCTAGTGCTATAAATATTCTCTATTGCTAAATTTATGTCTCTAGTCCAGACCTTCCTTTCAAAACTTAACACTTATCCAGCTACCAACTCCACATCTCCCCACAAATTCATGATAGGTTTCTTAAGCTGAATGTATCCAAAATGAAGCTAACTAACTAAATGGGATCATGATACATTCCTTAAACTTTTATGCTGGTAGTCATTCCATGTCAGTTTATCTTTTTTTTTCCCCCCCTACTGGTGTTTGATCTAAGGGCCCTGTGCTTTCTAGGAAAGTACTCTACCACTTGAGCCTTGCCACCAGCCCTTTTTATTTTAGTTCTTTTTCAGATAGGGTCTCGTGCTTCCCATGTAGCTGGGATTACAAGTGTGAACCACCACACCTGGTCCTGTGATAGTACATCTTGTCCTAATTGCTCAGACCCAAATCTTGAGTCATTATTGATACCCCTCCCCCATTTCCTTCATACTTTATATCCAATGTTGTCTGAACTGTATCTTTGATAAAACCACTTTTATCACCTCTGACACTACCAAAGTTCTAGCTACAGTCAGTTGCTTACTTGGGATACTACCTGCTATCGTTTCTTCTTTCCTTTTTCTTATGAGTCTATTCCTATCATAGCCACCAGTCAGATTATTAAAGTTTAATTTAAATCATTCATTTTTTTGCTCAAATTCTCCCAAAAACTTCCCATTTCACTCTTGAGTAAAACCTAAAATTCTTATAATGACCTGTAAAAACACTTCCTGATCTGACCTAGCTCTGTTATATTTCCAACAGCAATTCCTTCTGTTCTTTTTATCTGCTACACTCACACTGGCCTCCTTGCTATTTCTTAGACACTTGGCTTGCTCCTGCCTTGGAACCTTTTACTCATACTTCTTTCCACTCTGCTCATACAGAACTCTATTATATATTTTAAAGATATATTATTCATATCTGTAATTGAGGTTAAATTTTCAAATTTTGGGAGTTGGTCAGTATTTTCCCTTGTTGTAATTTTTTAAAATTAGTAGCAAGTTTTATGTGAAATACCTTGACATATTTTACTTCCATGGTCATAGAAGGGGGTCTACTTTGAGACTAATATATTGAGTATTTTGTCAGGTTTTTATTTTTTTTTGGAAATTTTTAAATAAAATAGGAACCTATGAAAGCCCTCTACTCTTAAAATTTCATACATGCAATGATCTTGGCTTTGAAAGCATTGCTGTTACAGCTTTTTCCTATTTATGAAAATGAGGTAAATTTCTTATAGGTTTTCTGAAGGACAGAACAATAACAAAATAAAGAATTGGCGCCTAACAGTGGAGTAGGGAGTGGTAATGTTTAGATCTTTCCCTAGGAGGATTTGAGATTGGTAGCTGTGGGGTCAGAGAAATAGCCTCAGGTGAAGGTTTCTCCTTTCCTCAGTCATGTGCTTTATATAGCATCCCTCTACCACATACTTCCAAGACCGCCAGAGGATACCTGAATAGGATAATACTAAACCCTATTTATACATACCCGTGATAACATTTTATTTAAAAAGTAGTAGGCATAAAGGCTGGCGGAGAGGCTCAAGTGGTAGAGCGCCTGCCTAGCAAGCGTGAGGCCCTGAGTTCAAACCCTAATACCACTTAACAACAACAACAACAAAAAAAGGCACAGTAAGAGATTAACTATAATGTCTTACCATAGATATTAGCATCTTTTTCTTTTTTTGGTGGGACTGGGGTTTCATTTTCAGGACTTGGCACTTGTAAAGCTGGTACTCTACTGTTTGAACCACACCTCCAGTCCATTTTGCTCTAATTATTTTGGAAATGGGGTCTTGTGAACTGTTTCCCTGGAGAGGCCTCTAACCACAATCTCTCTATCCCAGCCTCCTGAGTAGTTAGGATTACAGGTGTGAGCCACTGGTGCCTTGCTCTTTTTTTTCCCTTTATGAAATCAACAACTTTCACTTTTCCACTTAATGGAAGTATTTTATAACTTTTCTTTGTTATATCCAAATTGCCAGCATCACTATTCTTGAACTTTGGGGCCATTGAACTCTAATACCACTTACAGCAACAGTCTGATAACTGAGACAGCTACAGAGTGACTAATGGGTGACTCATGAACAAGTAGCAATACAGCATGAATAGGCTAGACAAAGGGATGACCTGCCCTGGGCTGAATGGAGCTGGTTAGTGAGAAATTCCATCATGCTTCTAGAATGATGTATAACTTGGGAATGATGTGTAACTTAGGAAATGTTTTTTTTCTCAAAATTTCCATTTAATGTTTTCAGACTGCAGTTGACCTTGGATAACTAACTGCAGAAAGTGAAACCGGAGATAGGAGGGAATATTATACTGATTTTTCTTATTGGGGTAGGATAGGTAGGTTGGTGGGAATCATAATAATTGCTATAAATATTTCCTCTTTCTAGATGATATCTCTGTAAAGGAGAAACCTGCTGAAAAAAGTAAGGAGAAGAAAGTGGTCAAGCCAGTACGAAAAGTCCAAAAGGTAGCATTGTTATCAAGCCCAGAATGCAAAACAGGTTAGTTTTTTAATATCATGTCCATCCTAAAGTTACATATTACTGAAATCAGTCTTACATGGATCTGTTACCAAATGTTCTTATTGTTTGGAACATATGATAATTTGGTATATGTATCATTATTGTGTGTGCATGTGGGCCTTATTGAGTATAATTGACAGAATAAGCATACCTATTTAGAATGTACAATTTGAAAGTTTTCATGTGTGTACATCAATGAAACCATTTGTTTATCATATGTCCCAAGATATTGAACAGATATACCACCTCAAAGTTTTCTCTATCATTATTTTTAATAGAAATTAACCATTTTAAGTAATGATTTTTTTCATGTGGTGATCTTTTATATCCAAAGAGATTGTTTATTACTTTTATTAATACAAACATCAGAACTATGGCGAACTTTGCCAGTAGTGACCAGACTGAACAGAGAATAGATCAAGGTAGAAAAACAAGACTTTTCTAGTTCCATAGTGATTAACATTTTAGCCTTGATCCACATTGCTTGGATTTATAGCTAGCTTTATTCCTTTGACAAATGAGTTAATTGTAGTGTGCTTTTGTTTCCCCACATATAAAATGGGAAAGCAGTAGTATTTGTCTCATGGGGTTGTATGAACTAAAAGAGTTAATATTTAACACACTTTAATATAGTGTCTGACATATATATACTCAGATGTCAGCCATGATTCTATTAATAATAGTAATGAATATTTCTGGCTATTCTAAAAATGTTTGTTTAGTATGTCATATTGATATCAGTGAATAATTTGAGCCAAGAAATAGTAGAGAAAGTTGGAAACTTGTCACTTATAGTTTAGATACATTGTAAGTTGATATATTCATTCATTACCCAAATATTTTTGAGCACTTGCTATATGTGAAGCACTGTGCTATATACACTAAGCTTACTATAAAAACAGTAATATGCAAGATGGACAGTTCCTGCCTTTGTGGAGTAGTATATAGTTGGAATAAAGGATGATAAGTGTTTTGATAAGAAGAGATCATGCTCGGCACCAGTGGCTCACACCTGTAATCCTAGCTACTCGGGAGTCTGAGATGTGGAGATCACATAAGAGGCCAGCCCAGGCAAATAGTTTGTAAGACCCTCATCTCCAAAATAGCCAAAGCAAAATGCACTGGAGGTGTGGCTTGAGCAGTTGTGTACCTGCTTCGTAAGTGCTAAGCCCTGGATTCAAACTCCAGTCCCTCCCCCCGACCAAAAAAAAAAAGATCGTATGGGAACAAAGATTAAGAATGATGAAGGACTGGTTTTTGGTCAGGCACCTGTTTTTCTGGTCATTGTCCAGTCATTAAAATGGAACATACAGAGTGACGCTAGTTTTATACAAATAAAATTTTTTTATAAGAGCATGAATTATCTCAAAGTTAAGTAGTTCTTAAATTTAAGAAGTATTATTTTGATGTGTATTATGATACTGTTGTCAGGTTATAGTTTGCAAGGCAGCACAGGGAACATGACAACTTAAAAGCTAATATCATATTGTTATTTATCTAGTTTCATGGTGATCTCATTCCTGTGTATGTATTGTGGCATGGCCTAGACAGAGAATCATTAAATGTGCTGCACAAAATTAATAGTTTATCTAGTGAAAGTCATCTTTTTCTTCCAGCCATTATGTAAGACTGTTTTAGAAAGCCAAAATTTAGAAGTAACCACACAGCGTATCAGAAACCATCATTTATAAATACCCAGTGTATTCATGTTTGCTTGTTTTTGATTCAGAAAGTTAGGCTGAAATTGAAAAGAAGCCTGTTCTGTTCTTATGAACATAAAATTTCTTATAGATTGAGCAACAGACTTAAAACCCTTTAAATTTTTAGATAGATTGTATAAGGTTAGTAAAAAGGTCTGAAAAACATTTCTAATTTCTAATTCACCTTATTATAGTTGATGTTTTTGTTAGAACTGTACTTCCATATAAACTTTTAAACTAAAGCCCTATTAAAAGAAACTCTAAATGAAATGTCTTTTGCTATAAATACAGTAAAATAGTGTCACAGATGACTAGAAAAAGAAAACAGATTAAACTGCTATGGTGACATAAAATACTTATACTGCCTACGGTGGTTTTAAAATCATATTAGTATGTGATTATCATCATTGTATACCTAAACTTCTTCAGATACATAAAATTTTATCCTTTGAGCATTTTTTTTTCGCAAGAACATTTCTGCTCTCTTATGGATATTATCTTTTGTTAATGGCCTCACAATACTCCATTAGAAACGTATTAACTACTCACTAATCTTCAGTATTTATATTTCTTTTGCTGCTATAGAAATGATAGTCAATATTTCCACTTATTCTTTCCTTTGAATAGTATAAATTTCTGTTAGTTGTATTATTTGGTCAACGACAATGAACATGAGGTGCATGATACATAATACTAAGATTTATTTTGTGTTTTTAAAAGGAAACTCTACCCACTTATGTTACAGCATGCAGTTTTAAAGATTTTATTATATTTTATCATCAGTGACTATTAATTTGCAATTTTTTCTAAGTACATTTAAAGCATTGCTTGGTTACTTTCATTGTCGTTCCATTTATTATTTTACTTATTTTTTTGGGGGTGGTACTAGAGTTTGAACTCAGGGCCTCACGTTTGCTAGGCATGTGCTCTACCACTTGAGCCATTCCACCACCATTTTACTTTGTTTTAAGCACTTTTACATATTTGGTCTATGTTTTTTCTCTCTTTCTCTCTCTCTCTCTCCCCCTCCCTCCCTCCCTCCCTCCCTTTCTTTCTCTGTGTGTGTGTGTGAGAAAGAGAGAATGGGGGGGTGGAGTCTTCCTACATTAACCAGACTGACTTGGAACTCGCTATGTAGCCCAGCCTGGCCTTGAACTCTTGATCCTCTTGCCTCATTCTTGAGTGCTGGGATTACAGGTATGTGCCACTGTAACCAGTCATGTTTCTTTTTTTTAGTTTCTATTTAGTAAACAGTCTTTCATATCATTTACTGCTTTTTAAGTTATTATCTATTTTGAGATCATAGTTTAATTTTAATTTTCTAATAGTCTGAAACTAGTACATGAAAATATTCTTTCTTTTTATTCATTGAAACACACTTAAGAACTTTGAGGAGGGCAGTTTAAAATGATATTTGCTTTTATAGTGTTACTGTTATGCATACTTATGATACACATCTTATGGTGTGCTTTATGGTATGCATCTGTAAAATGTGAAAGTCCCAGTAATATAATCCCTTCAAAGGTGATCATTGTTAATTGTTTGTTATGTTTGTTCAAAATATTTTTCCTGGGCTTAAGTCATTCATCTGTTCAGCGAATATACATTTTCTCATGTGCTGTGTACTGTACTGCATATTGGTAAAACAAACACTTATTAAGACACTTATTAAACACTTAGTATATTTTTGCTCTTTGCTAAAGAACTCTGTTGAATTCAGTGCCCTACTACTTGAGGTTTCAGGAGTCATTATGATTTAGTGCTTAATTTTCAAAGTATTTTACATTTATTTGGCATGTGAATATAAATCAAGATATAAACAAACTTAACCAATTTTGATGGCTTGGAGTTAAAATACACTTAAATTTTAAATTTTTTGACCTTAGCGTAAGGTACAGATAAAATTAATTGTAAAACCTACCTGGTTGAGTAAGTGTGCTCCTTAGAGCTAAAATTTAAATTTTAATATCCATGCAACATAGATATATATATGCATGGATATATTTATATGGAAATATATATGGATATATAGTTATGTATATATATATATATTCATATGGAGATATATATATATGGATATATATATTTTTTAGGTAGTAGTCATCTAATAAGTACTTCTTCTTGGAGAGATGGACAAAAATTAGTGAAGAAGATTTTGGGGCCTGCACCTAGAGTGGAGCAAAAAGAGCGAAGAACAGCATCAAGTGACAGAAGTGGGAGAGAAAGAGCTAATAAATCTGGTGAGTGGCTATAATTAAAATTGTTCCAAAAAACCAAAAAAATTACTTGTGTAAGTTCGTAGATTAAAAAAAAGCTCTTGAGAATGCCTTAGGACTTTATATATATATATATATATATATATATTATTTATATATATAATTTTTTTTTTTGTGGTTGGTTGTTTTTTGTATAGCTGTTAAAGTATCTAAAAAAAGAGGAAATGTCCTATTGGGCTTGTCTGGATAATTTCTGCAGGTAGTTGTTGTGGCCATTTTTATTAGAATTCTGTTTTAAGTTATATATTAAATACATTTAATTGTCATTGTGACCATCAAAGCATTATTTTAATGAAATCTTTTATAGTCCTTAAGAGGATCAAGTCCAAACTTTTATATCCCAATATATACAAACAAACATGGGCAAATATTCTCAAGATTTTCTTTTTTTTGAACAAGTTAGGAAACAGCTCTGAAAGAGAAGTGATTTTCCCCTCCCCCCTCAGGGATGTATAGTCAATGGATGACAAAATTTGATGTAAGATAAAGAACTCTCAAATCCATTGCTTTTCTCTTTTTGAATTACTTTGAAGGCTATTTAATATAACTTGCTGCTTTTTTCATAAATGTTGGTTTAAAAAATGAGCTGTAAATACCCATAGGTATTTTCTTTTCAGCAGCAAAATTTGTCTCAGTTACTTTGAGTTTCTGGGATGGATTCAGTAAGAAATGCAATCACAACTATAATGTGATATATAGAACTCAGTATGTGCTTTGTATTTCTTTCTCTTAGCTTCATTTCCTTCCATCTGTCTTGCAAGTAAACTAACTCAGGTGTGTTCTCAATCTAAAATTAAGCCATGTCAACAAACAAATAGCTGTTTTTATATATACTGTATTTAATGCTTCTGTCCTTCTTTGGAGAGTTGTGGAGACTTAACATTTACTCAACAAATGTTTACTGAGTGCCCTCTATGTAGCAGGCAGTGCTCTAATTGCTAGGACTTGCAAGTAACCAAAATCTCTGACCAAGTGCAAGAGGCATTCATTCTAACAGAAGGAAACATTACGTACTTCATATGCCTCTTACTGAAGTTCTTGTCTAAAAATGAAGTAAAATACTCAAAATAGCCTTTTAGAGATTTGAAGATTTGTTTTACACATATTGTTAAAATGTGAATGCAGTCATAGAATAAGCTAATTTTAATCTTTTCTGAACCAACAGGAATATAAATTACACTTTCAGAAATTCTCTGATAAACCCATGTAAATATGCTGCCATTTCATGTAATTGTGATATGGGACAGTATTGTAGAATAGTTCAGAAAAATCCGTATTTATGCCTTTATGATTTGTATTTGGCATTTGCATTTTTATCTTTTCAAAACTTCAAAGCAATTTTTTAAAAACTCAAGGTAATTTCCATTTTGATTCTAATCAAGATGCCTTGATTATTGAACAGGATTATTAAATTTTAAACAACTTTTTTGAAAGAAGAGAGAAATAGTAGCATTAAATATGCATGTGAGAAATAGTAATCTTAAGTATTCACATTGGTCATAAGAGCTAACCTTCTACAGAAATGTGTAAAGATGTATTTAAAAAAAAAAGATCTAAGGAAAGAGTTTTTCAGAAGATGGAAATTCTTTTACTGCTAAAAAAGGGACGTTTTCATCTTTTATAAAATTCTTTCAAATACTATCAGATATTTGAACTTGAGTTTAAGATAAAGTGAAACTCCCTAATTTTGTTATTAGCACAGTAAATCTTAGGAATGAATATAGAATTTGAATATGACACTAACAGTCCATATATTGTAGGGGGTCATATTGGAAGAGCAGAATCTGATCCCAGGTTGGATGTTTCACATAGACATCTTCCACGAAGCTTAGAACGTTCAAGAAGTAGAGCTCGGTCTGAAAATAATATAAAGAAAACAGCTCCATCTCTTCCAGACAATAAACAGGAGGAAAATACTGCCTTAAACAAGGACTTTTTACCTGTTGAAATTCGTGGCATTCTTGATGACCTACAGCTGGATTCTACAGCTCAGACTGTGAGGCAAGAGACTGGAGATTTACAGAATCCAAAGTCATCAGCACCTGTACAAGCTCCTCGGAGTCATAGCCCAGTGAAAAGAAAACCTGACAAAATAACAGCTAATGAAGATCCCCCTGTTATTTCCAAAAAGCGCCACTATGACACAGATGAGGTACGACAGTACATTGTTAGACAGCAGGAGGAAAGGAAAAGGAAGCAAAACGAAGAGAAGAAAGCTCAAAAGGAGGCTACTGAACAGAAGAACAAACGATTACAGGAGCTCTACAGGAAACAGAAAGAAGCCTTTACTAAAGCAAAAAATGTGCATCCTTCTGATCCATCAGCAGCTAGACGACTACAGGAAACTTATTCCAAATTCCTTCTAGAAAAGACTTTGCTTGAAGAGCCAGCTCATCAACATGCTACACAGGAAACACAGGTAATAATAGTAGCAGAAACACAAAGGGGAGTAACTCATGGTCAGGAAAAGCTTATTTACTATATAGTGCTACTTATAAAGTACCCACCATTCCTAGTATTCAGACATATGTTCAAATAATATTCATAAAAATTGTATTTCATATGAAAGACCATTCTTTGCATATGAAGAATAATGTGAAAATATGATACAAGAGCTAAGAGTTTCAACACTGATTGCTGCCAGTCTCATCTGTCATTGTTTTTAGTTGTATTCCTGCCTAGTTTTCATTGTAGTACTGAGCAAATACTCAGTACATAGTACAAAACCGTATTATGTTAATGAAATACTTAGTTTTGTGTTCTGTGCCAAAATTAGAAAATATCCTAAATTAGTGTGCTGATGTTCTAACAATAATAACTGAGTATGTACCAGATATTATTGCACACTGTTTTAAAGGCTTCACTTACTAGGCTTAAGCTTCAATAAGTCCTCACAACCCTGAGAGGGTTAGGATACTGCATTATTTTTTCTTATTAGATGAAAAAACTGAGGTTTATAAATCCTGATTATGGAGTTAGGATTAGGTGTCCTTGCTGGATTTCAGGTGTTATTTTGTGTTAATTGTAATGGTTATTTTTAAGGCAAACTAAATTTGAAAGGATTTTATTTGAGGAAGAAAAACCCTCTGTTTATACTCTTTATAAAGCAGAAATGACTTTATGTGTGTCTTCTGTGCTACCTAAAGGTATTTTTGTGATGAGAGTCGGATTAATTTCATGTCCTTTTCTCCTAGCCCAGACCAGGGTATCAGCCATCTGGAGAATCTGACAAAGAAAACAAAGTACAGGAACGTCCCCCAAGTGCATCTTCTAGTAGTGATATGTCTCTGTCAGAACCTCCACAGCCTCTTGCAAGGTAAAAAGAGGAGAGTAAAAGATGATTAAGGTTTCTTTTATTTTATTAAATTAGTATAGTAGTCTATGTTTATTGAATTTTATCGACTGACCTTTGTGAGCAAGAATGCAAAGAAATTTGTTTAGAAATTGGTTAATATCTTCTAATGGATACCTAAGCATGGTATACAGCTATATTTACTGTATGTTCTACTTTGTTTTTCAGTTTTTTATGTTGGTTTATATATTTATTTGTGGTGCTGGGGATGGAACCCAGGCCTTGGGCATGCTAAGCAAGCACTCTCTCCCTGAGCTACATCCCTAACCCTTTATCTGTTTTTTAATCCAATGTCAGTGTCATTTCCTTGTGCAATTGGAATCAGTCTTGCCTTCTCTGAATCAAACACACAGTGAAAGTTTGTTGGATGAATAGATCTCAGTGAAAGATTACATGGTTATAAATCATACTTTGTAGTAATAACCATTCGGGGAAGACAAAGATTTTGAAACACTTCTAAATGCAGAAATAAAAATCATATTATTTTCCAGTTTGGTGTTAATACACATGATCCTCTTTCTACTCATCCCAGAGAAGAATAATATTAGCAAAATAGTAATATTAATAAAATAGCCAACATTTATTGGGTGTTTCTTAGGTTCTGGGCACACTGATCTAAGTACTTTGTTCTGGGGATCAAAGTCAGGGCCTCATGCATGTGAGGCATCTAAGCAAGTTACCACTGAGTCATATCCCAAACCTAGGCACTGTTGCTATTTCTACTCTATAGAAGAGGTAATTGAAGTCTAAAATATAATTACCTTTCTTGAAGTCAAAACTTTAGTGGTAGACATGTGCTTGAACTTAGACAATCTTACCTTAGAAATCAGTGTCTTTAACCACACTGAGTACTTCCTCCCAATAGATGAAATGTTTCAGATGATTTGTTTTAAGATCATAAATACATTTTAAACTTCAATCATAAAAATTGTTTTGATTGTGAATATTTTGGGGTAGGTGATACTCTCTGTTTCTTTACTCTTGTCACACCTACCCTGCTTGATTCATGTCTTCAACTTTTGCCTTTCTGAGTTTCCTTCTAATTCTAAACAAGTTACTTAATATTAGAAACAAAGCAAGCACAACTGTATTGTTAGAATTTACTACCTTGCACCAGTTCCTCTTTTTCTTCATCCTTTCCTTCCCTCCTTCTCTTTTGTTTTTAAATTTTTTCATTTTTTAAATTAACACATAAAAATTGCACATATTTACGAGGTAACCATGGCTTCCAGTTTTCTGATGTTTCAATTCATGTACACATTGTGTGTCTTGTAATATCACAAGTTATCTACCTAGTGCCTCCATTTTCTCACTACTTATTCCTTAGCTTCCCCGTTTCTATTAATAGTTTTAACATATCTATATGCTTAAAATTATTTTATGCTTAAAGTTATTGCGTTTCTTTTCCTTGTTCTTTATGCTCATTTTGTATTAGCTACTTGGAAAATTCCAAGTTACATTTTTGACCTTGAGCACCTTAAAGATCTCTGGCTAGAAGAATTAATTGTCTACAGCCTATTGAACTTTATAAATCTTCATTTGGTACATATGACAATATACTTTAGCTGTTTACTAGGCTGTCATCCTTGCTGCATCTTGAAACACTAGGGTAAGAATTAAATCTTAACCAGATTGTTTTCATTTTGACCCTGCTTTGTTCTTCCACCATCAGCCTAGCACTTACCATAAAAATGGGCTTTCATTAAATACTTAAATTTAAAACTCTTAAGTTTTTGCTCATTGTATCTTTTATGTTATAACCTCCTTGTAGTCCTATTACTAGCAGCTTAGTTAGGCCCTAATACCCCGAAACCTTGCATTTGTAATAGTCTTTATTTTGTGGTATGTACTAGTCTTCCTTCCTTCATTCCATTCTTCTTAGCAGACCATCAGTATCAAAGACCGCTATCACTTAATTTCCAACCACATCTTGTTTGGCATGCTTATCTACTCCTTTATCACCTTATTAGTCTCTTTCAGGTGATTTTTTTGAGCCATTATAGAACTTAACATTTATCCATATTAGTTTAGTCTAAACATGTAGCCTTTACAAATAGTTTTGAATGATAATTTGGTCATTTTTGGGGGTAGTCATTGCTCCCTGTTTTCTGTCATCTGCAAATTTGATAAGCTCATCTTCATGTTGTCTTCTAAAAAGAATAATGGATAAGTCCAAGGACAAACTTCATGTTACTCTTCTAAGGTTCGTCTTAATCATGGATATTGGACTTTAATCTGTGTAGTATCACTCAATATACAGGAAGTATATTGCCTGGAAGTATAAGGAAATGTACATAATATTGATTAGGGTATTTTTATCCTGTTTCTTGGGCTGGTGGAATGATTCAAGTGGTAGAGCACTTGCCTGGCAAGTGTGAGGCCCTGAGTTCAAGCCCAGTACTGCAAAAAAAAAAAAAAAAAAAAGAAAAGAAAAAGTTTTCTTTTTATTTTAGACTTTACAGACACTCTACCCTTTATTGTATATTTATAATTGGTACTTATAGTTTTTAATTTACTTGTTTGATACTCATTAATTTTTTCCAAGTTGGTTGTAAAAACCTCTATTTTTTAGTGTGTTAAACTTCAGTCTTTAGCATTTAGTAAATGTTGGTTGATTAGAATAATCTATATCATGTCTGTATTAAATCTTACCCATTTTCTCTTTTGTATAACATTTTTAAAGGATAGTATGAAGACAATATTTTAAAGAAGTTTTCCACAGAATTTTAAAGTTTTTTAATACCTTCTCTTTAATTAATAGTTTTTTAAAAATCAACTGTTTTGAAGAAAGCAGCTTAAAAAGCATTACGTATGGTAAAATCCCATTTTTGTACAAATAAAACCATTAAAACACAGAATATACATAGATAAATGTTAGGAAGGGTATAAATATAAGTGAACTATTAATAGTGACTCTTTTTGATTATTTAGCTATGAGTAATCTTTGTTTTATCTTTTTATTTTGTGTGTAGTACTGAGGCCTTGTGCTTGCTAGGCATAACCACTTGAACCATGCCTCCAGGACTTTTTTTTTTGACGTGTATATACTTTATCCTTATAATCACAAAAATTAAAAACAAAACTAAGAAATAATGATGGCTTGATCTTACGATGTAGTTCAGGGATATAGAGTGCTTGCCTAACATGAGCAAGGCACTGGGTTTGACCCTAGCCCTGCAAAAAAACAAAAAAGAATTAGAGTTTCTGTGTTAGCTAACATTTTATGATTTTTATTTCCAGAAGAGACTTGATGGAACCTACATGGATGCAACCTGAGAGATTGAGCCCACGGGTTCACAGTTCACAACTGCAGCCTCTTGTTGGAACAGCTGGAAATTTACTCTCCCATCTCTTGAATCTAGAACATGCAGGAATTTTGCACAAGGATTTTGAATCTTTTTTAACAACCAGGAAGAATCATAATATGGCTTCAGGGCCATTAACTTTTACACCTCAACCATATCTGACCTCACCAGCTGCTCATCCAGATGCCTTGTTAAAACCTTGTGCCAGCCAATATAAAAGTAAACTGGATCGTATTGAAGCCTTGAAAGCAACAGCTGCTTCTTTGTCCAGCAGGATTGAAAGTGAAGCCAAGAAATTAGCTGGAGCCAACATTAACTATGGGTCAATGTTGAACACTGAGTACGTTGTGCAGCAAGCAACTCAAGAAAACGAACCTTGGACTAAGGCTGTAAGTCCACCTGTGAAAGAGGATACAGAAGATGTTTTCTCTGCCCGGATTCAGAAGATGCTGGGAACTTGTGTATCTCATGCAACTTTTGATGATGATCTTCCTGGTGTAGGCAACCTTAGTGAATTTAAAAAACTTCCTGAGATGATAAGACCTCAAAGTGCCATATCAAGTTTCAGAATGAGATCCCCTGGCCCTAAACCAGGAGGGCTGCTGGCACAGTTGTGTAAGAGGCAGACTGACTCTTCTAGCTCTGATGTACAAGTTTGTTCTCAAGAAAAAGCCAAAATGACTCTTTGTTCCAGCACAGATTCAGTCAGTGAAGGGCCCCTTCTTAGTGAAGGGAGTCTGTCTGAAGAAGAGGGAATTCAGGATGGACGGTCCCTTCTAAAAGTAGCAGAAGTTTTAAAAGAAAAGGAATTTTGTGCTGGAGAAAGAAATCCCTATGAATCCATCAAAGAATTTCAGAAGGAAGCTGAGAAGTACTTGCCACTTTTGGGGCACATAGGTGATACACAAAGTAAAGGACCATGGGAAGAATTGGCAAAGGGAAGCCCACATAGTGTCATTAATATTTTTACCAAATCATATCAGTTATATGGAAAAGGTGAGGAAAAGTAAAGGGATGGCATTGTATGTTATTTTAAGATAACATTATTTCATAATTTCTGTACAAAATATATACTTAAACATACATTTGTTATTACAAGGAAAATGGAGACATATGTGAATCATCTGCAGGATAATTTAACTATATTATTAAGAGTTTAATATCGAAATTTTAGTTTTTTTTAGTTATTGTCATAAAACAGTAGTTGACTGGTAGTTGTAGAAATTTTTATCTAATTTAGAGGAACTCTTAGGTGATGTTCAAGATTGGGTATATATCAAGGGCATACTAGGGTTTCTGTGACCTTCCTTATATACTTAAATTTAAATGAAGTATATTTTTTAAAACACTGACTTGTGTGAATCCTAGGATTACAGTGGTCAAGGTATTAACTGACTTTTTTTGGCGGGCATGGTGCTAGGGATCAAACCCAGGGCTTACACATACTGCCACTGAGCTATGTTTTCAGCCTCTATGACACTAACTTCTAAAGGTCTCTTCTTTTTCCTGAAGAATTCTGTAGCTCAATACAGCTTTCCTGTCCTGTGAGATACTCAATTCCTTCCAGTTGCTTTCTGCCATAGGTGGATTCTATTCAACTTGTACTAACATAACCTTAGAATTTCTAAGTTGGAGATTTCCACTGTATGTAATGAGCAAATTATGACAAATGAATTGATTTCATCTTTCTTCTTAGGTTCTACTAGGTGTCACATTGCTTTTTCCTAGAATTCGTATTTAAGCACTTCTTTATGATCTTATGCCAACTTTTATACATTATTGCTCTGTTGTATTTAACCACTTAATTGTGTTGGTGTTAACTTTAAATTTCTTTTGATTTTAAAGTTCTTTTTATTTTTAAAAATTTTAATTATTTATTTTTTTGCTTTACTGCTAGGCAAGGGCCTAGCACTTGCCTAGCAAGAAATCTATCACTTGAGCCACACAATCCCGCCCCCCCTCCTACCTCTCTGGTTCCTTTTGATTTCTTTTGATGAAAGCAACATACCATACTCTTGTATTTTTTATAAGAAAATTGTTTTGTTTTTAAAATTCTTAAATTGAGGACACATTCTCCAGTATTCAACTTTTATTATTTTTTTTCCAGTATTGGGGCTTGAACTCAGGGCCTATACCTTGAGCCACTCTACTAGCCCTTTTTTTGTGATGGTTTTTTTTTTTTTTTTT